AAAAAAAAAAAAAAAAATAGGGTGGGAGAAAAGCAATGGATAGAGGTTATTGGAATCATACTTCTGTAAAGCCTTAGTATTTAAAACAGTGGAGTGCTAGCATGTAAATAAATAGCAGATGGACATAAGGAATGGAAATCCAGAAATAAACCTAAATATATACAGGAATATAAATCCTAATCTCCATCATAATACCTATAGGAATATAAACCTAAATATAGGAACTTAGTACATGATAAAAGTGATTATCTTAAAATTAGTAGGAAAAAGATAGACTTTTCAATAGTTTTGTTGTAATAAAAAAATAAACTATGAACATACATTGTATACCAGGACCTGTTTAAAAGAAAAGCCACAAATGAATTTGCCTAGAAGAAAAATATGGGTGAATTTCTTTATAACCTTGGCATGCAAAAGGCCTTTGTAGTTAATCAAAATTCAGAAACCATTTTTTAAAAAATGACAAATGTGACTACTAATTCATGGTACCTCCATACAATGGAATATTTTTCCATGATAAAAAGAAATGAATTATCAAGTCACAAAAAGACAGGGAAGAATTTTAAATGCCTGTTGCTAAGTGAAGCCAATCTCAAAAGGCTACATACTATCTAATTATAACTAAATGACATTCTAGAAAAGGCAAAAGTATGAGGAGAGGAAAGAGATCAGTGGTTGGCAGGAAGGAGGAGGAGGGATGGGGAGAGGAGGGGGATAAAGAGGTGGAACAGAATTTTTAGGGCAGGAAAACTTCTGAATGATACTATAACTGTGGGTAGGTGGATATGTGTCATTATTCATTTGTCAAAACCCAAAGAGTATACCCTAGAGTAAACCGTGGACTTTGCTTGATAGTAATACACCAACATAGGTTGGTTGTAACAAATACACTACTGTGGTACAGGACAGTTTTATGGTGGGAAAGGCTGGGGTGGGGGTGAGGGGAAGGGGATGGGGGAGAAGGTAGAGAGGTATGTGAGAACTCTATACTTTTCACTCAGTTTTTCTGTGAACCTGAAACAGCTCTGATAAATCTATTTTTTTTTTTAAGTCAAAATCTTGGGGCGCCTGGGTGGCTCAGTTGGTTAAGTGTACAACTCGATTTCGGCTCGGATCATGATCTCACAGTTCAAGGTCCGAGGGATTCTCTCTATCTCCCTCTCTCTCTGCCCTGCCCTTCCCCTGCTCATGCGCGCGCGCTCTCTCTCTCTCTCTCTCTCTCAAAATAAATAAACATTAAGAAAAAGAATCAAAATCTTGTGAAAGGTAAGAAAAAAAATCGTAACCAAAATAAAAAAATGAAGTCTGACAGACAACTCAGTAGAAAAATAGGCAAGAAGTGTAGACAAGGATAGACAGAAAAAGTGTATTATGGATGGCCCATAACCTTATAAAAAGATGCTCAACATTATGGTATCAGAAATGCAAATTGTAACTACTTAAGAGTAAACATTGTTCATCTATCATTGGTAAAAATCTAAAAGTGTTCCTCTTGTAAGGTGGTAGAGGGTGTGAAACAGTATAGTGATTATGGAGAGCAACTTGACAATAACCATCAATGTTACAATTGCATTTATCTTTCTTTTTAAGGTTTTAAATCTTATTTTTGAGAGGGAGAGAAAGTGAACATGAGTGGGGAAGGGGCAGAGAGAGAAGGGGGGAATCCCAAGCAGGTGCAGAGCCCACTGCGGGGCTTGAACTCACAAACCCATGAACTGCGAGCTCATTACCTGCGCCACAATCCAGAGTCTGCCAGTTAACTGGCTGAACCATCCAGGTGCCCCATAATTGCGTTATCTTTAACCCAGCAGTTTTGGTTCTGGAAATTTATAGCTATCCTGGCCCATGAATGGAATAACATGTACATATGGCTATTTATTTCAGCATTGTTTGTAAAAATAGCAAAATATTAAAAACAACTCCAGTGTTCACCAGTAGTGGATGAAGTGAGTAAATTATGGTACATCTTACAGTGGAATACTGTGTCATGTGATATATTTATGTATAATAACAATTTTTTTTTTTAAACTACAGCACAGTATTTTTCTATCAAAGTAACTTTAACAAAATACATAAACTAGTGGTATATGGAACCGTAGCTTGGAGTGACCGGCTATTTAAAATTTCTGCTAAATTTATCTTTGAAATCTGTGATGTTACTACATTCTTCTCTGAAATTAGCCTGTTTTAATTTAAAATTAATTTCTAAAACTGCTGTTGCAATTTAGTAATACTGCTTTCAGAAGATGTACCTTGTTTATTGCGTGCCTTCTCTGGCCCCTGATGTACCGCCACCTGTCCTTACCTGAGAAGTATATTGTGTAGCAAAGTTAGTCCCTCACTCTGTATTGTTTTCTTTTTTTTTTTTTTCAGACTGATTTTTCAGTTGAAGGACTATAATTTGTAAACAATTCGAAAAGCCCTATATTTGTCTCAATATAATTTAACAAGTTTTTCTTCTTTCTAATATTGAACATTCCTGACAAATGATACCGAAACCAGTTTGATTTATTGGCATTTGAACATTCTAATGATGTAGTCATTAGTTAAGTGTATTTCTATGTAAAAAAATGTCTTATGTTTTTTTTTAAATTTTTTTTTTAACGTTTATTTACTTTTGAGACAGAGAGAGACAGAGCATGAATGGGGGAGGGTCAGAGAGAGAGAGAGGGAGACACAGAATCTGAAACAGGCTCCAGGCTCTGAGCTGTCAGCACAGAGCCTGACGCGGGGCTCGAACTCACGAGCCGTGAGATCATGACCTGTGCCAAAGTCGGACACTTAACCGACTGAGCCACCCAGGCGCCCCTCTATGTTTTGACATGTTCAGTTTATTTCTATATAAAATATTCTCTTTAGCAGGATGAAGTTAAAGGAAGTAGACCGTACAGCCATGCAGGCCTGGAGCCCTGCCCAGAATCATCCCATTTACCTAGCTACAGGTAAGTTCAACAGAGAGAACATAGTAGGAGCCACTTATTTCTTCTTTTCCACATTTGGCCTATCCGTGCCTGTCCTTTTGAGATTCATATTAAGCTTCATCTCCTCTAGAAAGCCTCTCCTTCCCTAGCAGGATACCTCCATCCTCCTTGTGAACTGCGTTCAGTGACCTTCCTCTGTTTCCTTAGCACCTTGTTCATTATAGCATTAATCATGATATGTTACATTTATGGTGTGTTCCCCACTTCATAAGAGTTCTTTCATCATTATTCCTCCAGTGTTAAGCACGATAGATAATATGTTAAAAAAAAAAAAGCTAAGTATTGATTTGAATGAATAACAGTTTTGATGCTAGCATTTTTATATGAAGAGTTACATCATTTGTAGCTATAAGCGGACATTGTAAATAATAAACATCTACATGTTTAAAAAATTATCTTCACTACCCACTCTTAGAAGCATTATCTCTAAGCCTTGTGTCAGAATCTCATTGCTGTAGTAATTTAAGCATCTGTTCAATGGTACATATCCTGAGATTTTAGTCATAAGCAGCATTCATGAGTGAGATAATTGAAAAACATGCATTTAATTTCTGTTTTGTATGGTTTTCTCCAAGTCTTTTATTTTTGCATGTGTACTCACCATAAATGTATTTTCTATAGGAACATCTGCTCAGCAGTTGGATGCCACATTTAGTACCAATGCTTCCCTTGAGATATTTGAATTAGACCTTTCTGATCCATCCTTGGATATGAAATCTTGTGCCACTTTCTCTTCTTCTCACAGGTATGAGGTTGATTAATCTTAAATTCACATTATTTATGGTTGTGATTATTATGTTGTGGTTGATGCCTAATTTATCTATAAATAGGGTATTATTAGAAACTGCAAGGAATACCATCAATTACATGAAATATTTTGAGAAAAAGTATATGAGTAGATTTCTATTTTTTTTTTTTAATATAATTTATTCTAAAATGGGCTAACATAGAGTGTATAAAGTGTGCTCTTGGTTTTTGGGGTAGATTCCCGTGGTTCATTTCTTACACACAACACCCAGTGCTCATCATCTCAACAAGTGCCCTCAATGTGCATCACCCATTTTCCCCTCTCCCCCACCCCCATATCCACCCTCAGTTTGTTCTCTGTATTTACGAGTCTTTTATGGTTTGCCTGCCTCCCTCCCTATATGAGTGAATTTCTGTGGAAGTAAAGACTTTTTTATTTCTGACTGATGTGTGGGATAGGAGGGAAAGGCTCTTTTCCAGTAGTTTTTTTCCTCATGATACAGTAGACATACTTTCTTTTACCTCCTTTATCTCACCTGTTTACAAAAAAAGGATAAGTATGGTCAAAAAAAGGAGTGGTTGGATAATATTAAGATGTTGTTAAGATAATATTAAGATGTTAATAGGATTATCTCTGAATGGGTTATTTTTATTTTTTCCTTGCACTTATCTATATTTAAAAACATTTCACAGAGATTTTTATTGACATGATTTTTGATACAGTGTTATTTGGATCACCTTTCCAAGTACTTAACACCCTATTGTAATGCAGAAAAAGAACCCTTTCATCTGAGTAGTAAAATATGCTTTATTGTCTCAGTAGTTTGGCAGATTTTGGTGAAGAGATTGTACCCTAGCTAACTTAACTTCACATAGCTCAAATCATGAAGTCTCAATGGACCTCTCATCTTCAGAGCCCTCCTCTGTGATGGGAGCCTCAAATGCATTTTGTCTATTAGGTTTTCTACTCACCACCATTTGTTTCATTATATACCTCATGCCACCTTCATATTTCATCTCCTTTCAAACTATAATCTTTTATTCTCCACCAGTGGGGGCACTTGTCATAATAGACATAATTTTGATGTCATTTTTCCACTGTCATAATACATTACTTTTCTTAGAAAATTTCAGGGGCGCCTGGGTAACTCAGTTGGTTAAGTGTCTGACTCTTGATTTCGACTCAGGTCAGATCTAACAGGTCGTGAGATTGAGCCCCATGTCGGGCTCTGCACTGACAGCATAGAGCCTGCTTGGAATGCTCTCTTTCCTCTCTCTGCCCCTCCCTTGCTTGTACTCTCTCTATCTCTCTCTCTAAATAAATAAGTAAACTTAAAAATTCACACACACACACACACACACACACACACACACACACACGTAAAGAAAATTCCATATAACTCCTTTAACACCTTTACTATTTAACAGACCACTTGTCAGTGAGTACTTCTGTAATGAAACAATATCAAGGGAAATGGTTGATTAGCTCTATTTTACAGGTGAACTAAAAGCAGCTTAGGAGGATTAAGTAACTCACCCAGGGTCTCACAGTTTCTAAATGGTAAAACCATTCTTAAGCCCATATATTTTGACACACAAATCAGGTATACTTTGTGATACTATATTACCTCTACCAAAAAGGTTTTAGTCTTTAAGATTATAAAATCAAATATGCCACATATAAATACAAATAAAAACTAAAATGCTATTTCACCAAGTCATGCACAGTTACCAGGAATAGAGGAAAAGCAGTGTTTTTAGATTATTTATGAAAACATAGGAATTAAATATGTAATTTCAAGTTCTTTTCTATAGTTATTTGACTTAAAAAATGAGTCATTTACTCATTTTCTCTTAAAGGTACCACAACTTGATTTGGGGGCCTTATAAGATGGATTCCAAAGGAAATGTCTCTGGAGTTCTGATTGCAGGTGGTGAAAATGGAAATATTATTCTTTATGATCCTTCTAAAATTATAGCTGGAGACAAGGAAGTTGTGATTGCCCAAAATGACAAGCATACCGGCCCAGTAAGAGCCTTGGATGTGAATATTTTCCAGGTTAGACTTTTGACATTTATTCATAATTCTTGAGATATGTGCTGCTTATTTGAAATAAGAATATGAGGGGTGCCTGTGTGGCTCAGTCGGTTAAGCGTCCGACTTCACCTCAGGTCATGATCTCATGGTTTATGAGTTTGAACCCCATGTCAGGCTCTGTGCTGACAGCTCAGAGCCTGGAGCCTGCTTCAGATTCTGTGTCTCCCTCTCTCTCTGCCCCTCCCCTGCTCACACTCTGTCTCTCTCAAAAATAAATAAACATTAAAAAAAAAGAAAATAATATAAATCTACTATGCCTCAGTCTTGGAATTGAAAGCTAAAAATGTGTGCCTGTGCAGGTTGATGAGTGAGTGTATTTTTTTGAAGAATGGAGGGTTCAGAGTTGGGATCAGGGTAAATGATAATAATTCTATGGAGGGGATAAGGCTGATGGGTTTAATTCTACAAATCTGGAGCTGTAATGCCATCTGAGGATATTTTTTATTAAACATTAGGAGCTCCAGAGGTTGGAAACAATGACTTTTAAAAGTTTGTGCTAGTTCAGCATTAGGCTAGTGCTGTGGTGTCTGGTTAATCCTCTGTTTTATTAATTGAAAAACTTTGTATTCATGACAGCGATTACTGCTCTATCAAATAATTAGAAAATTACACAAATACAGTGCAAATCTAATGGGTAGAAAAGAGTTAGTCTACTGTTGCCATCATAAACATTACTGAATATTAACTATATAGATGTATTGGTTAGTAAAGATCTTGAATTAATAGGATAGTAGAGCATAACAACCAAAACATAAATGTTACCTTAAGAAAGTTTAAAATGGGGCCACTGGGGTGGCTCAGTGGGGTGAGCTTCTGATTCTTGATTTCAGCTCAGGTCATGATCCCAGGGTCGTGGGGTTGAGCCCTGAGTTGGGCTCCACACTGCGTGTGGAGCCTGCTTAAGATTCACTTTTTCTTTCTCTCTCTCTCTCCCCCTCTCTCTGCCCCTCTCCTCAGCTCATGCTCACTCTCAAATAAAAAGTTTAAAATCGTTATTTTTCTTGTATTATAAATAGGTACTTAGGATACAGAAATACAGAAACCCAAACTTCATTTCTATAGTTTATGGTACCTACTCTTTAGGTTAGATAGCTAGTTCTTTTGCTAATGAAACAACTGCTGATTATTGGTTAGTGTGTTGTATTATAGGTGACTACAACCATAGAATTCCTCTATTTCCATAGTTACATGATGGTCGGTCAGGGAAGAATTTATAATAAGAATGAATAATAAGGGATGAAAGTCAATATATGAAACTCATTATCTTTCTGTACTTCCTATCACAGTTTTAGGGTATTGTTGATCCTTAAGGTATGCAACAGAGATAACCTAGAAATACTGCCACCCAGAATAAGATTGAGTGTAAATGAACTAGAAATACATGAGGATTTAAGACAAGAGATTTTTGTAGCCCTGTATTGGTCTGGCTCCAGAAGCTGGCTTTGAGGTATCTGTAGATCTAAGATGCTGTTATTTTAGGATTCAGTTATTGGTCTGAAAGCAATAATTGGTTTTGTCTGTTTTTGCCTTTTACAATCAGATCCCCTTCTAGGGATGCAGAAATGATAATCCCCATATGGTTGCATGATTGTTTAAGAATTTATCCATATAATTATTTTGTTAATGTCTTATCATGTCAGTAGACATGTTATCTTGTGAATGAAGTAGAATTTTATAATACACATCTCTAAAACATCATTGCAGTTTCATGGAGTGCCTCGGTGGCTTAGTCAGTTAGGCATCTGACTTCAGCTTAGTTCGTGAATTCAAGCCCGCATCAGGCTCTGTGCTGATAGCTCATACCCTAGAGCCTGCTTCAGATTCTGTGTCTCTCTCTCTCTACCCTTTTCCTGCTTGTGCTCCATCTCTCTGTCTCTCAAAAATAAATAAACGTTAAAAAATTTTTTTTAATTAAAAACAAAAATAAAACACTATCACAGTTTCAGATTATTATGCATAGTATTTAGGAATTCTTGAGTTCTGCTTTTTTTAATTAAACAGAAAAGTTGTGTGCCCTAAAACTCCTAGATCTTTCCATCTCTGAACAGTTAATTCTGAGTTCTCTTAATTATTCTTAAATGCTGTTTAGTTATTAATTATTTCTTACTGCAGACTAATCTGGTAGCCTCTGGTGCTAATGAATCTGAAATCTACATTTGGGATCTCAACAATTTTGCAACTCCAATGACACCAGGAGCGAAAACACAGGTATTGTGTTGATTTTAATGTAATCAAAATAACCAAAGTCAGTTCTTCAACACTTATTTCATTTTTTTCCACACAAAATATATTTGTTTAAAATCAGTGTTGTTATTGATTTGCCTTAAGTATTGTAAAGTACAGTATTAGTAAATGTGTTTCTTCAAGGTATCAGTGAGTCCTCAACAGCAAATATTTATTCAGTGCCTAACACCAGATATTGTTTGATGTACTTGACATACAGTAGTGAATAAAATAGACAAGTCTCTGGTAGTTTTTTCAGATATAGTATTATATATAGTATAGTATTTTGCATTGTGTAGTATTTTGACAGTATCCAACCACAGAATAAAAATCATAGACTAGAAAGGAAACTAAATCTTTAAAAAAACAACTCCATCCCTTTCCTATGTATTTCTAATAAGTTAAGAGAGAACAATCCTCCACTTGCCTCCTTGAAGTTTATCTTATAATGGACCCCAGCATTTTGGCAATCTTAGAAGTAGCGTAATGGAAGCATAAGATCTACCATTTATAAAGATATTCTTCTAGTGGTCTAGGCTGTAACTTTTGTTCTCCCTAGTTGTCTGTCATACTGATCACCATCTACTTTGTAGTTCATTATCTACCTTGTGGCAGTTGCAAAGTAAAGAAAAAGTGCTTGATTTATAGCAGGAGCTTAATAAATGCCTGGTGAATGAGACAATATTAAACAAGGTAATATACTTGAAGTGGCATATATCTGAGCTTTAAGATGTATTGTATATATTGAGAACTTATGAATATAAAAAATTTGTGGAATGAATAGGTCAGATTTAAATTAATCCCTTTTTAAAAAGAAGGATCAGATTTTATAGTTAAATTTGACCGTAATTGGGAAATGGTTTTTAGTAGTTTATTCCTTTTAGCCTCCAGAAGATATCAGCTGCATTGCATGGAACAGACAAGTCCAGCATATTTTAGCGTCAGCCAGTCCCAGTGGCCGGGCCACTGTATGGGATCTTAGAAAAAATGAACCTATCATCAAAGTCAGTGACCATAGTAACAGGGTAAGTATATGATTGATTTATAACAAACATGTTATGTTTCTGCTGTAGGTATTTCTATATTGTTTGTCCGTGTTGACAGCAAATCAGATTTTTATAAAGGCAAATCCTGTCTTTTCATGGACCAATCATGTTGGAATGAGAAGATTTTTCCTTGGGGAAAATAATAAAGTTTCCAATAAACCATGCTGGATATTACTAATAATGAAGGGAGAGATTGTTAATTAAATAGCTTCTTCCCTGATATACTGATTGTTTTTATTTTATTAGCTGTTTCAAAGTATTATAGTAATAGTTTATCTTTAGCTTTCTCTAGAACACACAAATTTTTCCTGCTAGTAATTGCGTGACTATGAACTTGTAGTTGCCAAACTCCTGGCTTCATCTCCTCTCATTAAGTACTGCTAAAGTGAGCTAATATTCTCCTACTTGCCCAGTAGATGTAGCTGTATAGCACATTAAAGTTTTGACCTTACAGATTCCTTAATACTGTGTGACAGTGTGCTATAAAATAATTTAGACATAATATAGGGCCTTATTTTGTTTGTTTTTAATTACATTATTTAGTTTGACATTTTTAGAAATAAGTTTGCCTAAATCCAAGAATATATATATATAATTTAACTATAACAGCAAAAAACTATTTAGAAGAATATTTCATCAGGGTATTGTTTTCCAATGAATTAGGAATTTAAAACAAGTTTCAGTTGAATAAAGCATTTCAGTAAGCATTTCAGTCATCTTCTGGAATATTTAGTGGGACCTAAACTTCCAGGTAATTCTCAATAGTAATGTTAACTTATTCTATGTGAAAATTTAAATGGTAGTTGTTGCTTTAGACATTTTGTCTTGATTTTTTTGGCAAAATAGAGGAAAGGTGTGGATTTTTTTGTTATTATAATCTTTTATCTGTTTTCATTTTTCTGAAAGTATTAAATTTAAATTTATATAAAACTTTCCTCCTAGTTACAATTTTGACAGGTAAACTCATTTTTGGTACAGAATTATTCTGATCCAGAATGGTGATGTGTATTGAATAGCGAGATGAATTGAAAACATTCAACCTTTTACTTTAAAACTACTGTTTTAAGAAGACCTACCCTATGACCCAGCAATAGCACTGCTAGGAATTTATCCAAGGGACACAGGAGTACTGATGCATAGGGGCACTTGTACCCCGATGTTCATAGCAGCACTCTCAACAATAGCCAAATTATGGAAAGAGCCTAAATGTCCATCAACTGATGAATGGATAAAGAAATTGTGGTTTATATACACAATGGAATATTACGTGGCAATGAGAAAAAATGAAATCTGGCCTTTTGTAGCAACGTGGATGGAACTGGAGAGTGTGATGCTAAGTGAAATAAGCCATACAGAGAAAGACAGATACCATATGGTTTCACTCTTATGTGGATCCTAAGAAACTTAACAGGAACCCATGGGGGAG